TTTTTTTTTTTTTTTGTATTTCTTTCTTTTCCTTGGCTCTGTCTCCTTTTTCTCTTTCTGTCTCCTCTTCTGTCTCCTCAACTAATTAATAATTAATTAATTAATAAATTTATTTATTTATTTATTTATTTATTTATTTATTTATTTATTTATTTTTTCTCTAGATAGGAGATGAAGTGCTGCTGAGAGAGAATGTATGGCCCCTGCTGCGGCCGTTGCTGACGGCGCGGGAGATCGAAGTCAACGCCGTCTTACAGCTGGTAACAAATAAATTTATTTTTATTTTTTTATTTTATTTTTATTTATTTTATTTATTTTTTATTTTTTTTGTTTTGTTTATTTGTTTGTTTTGTTTTGCTAAATACAAAAATAAGTGTTTTATTTATTTGTTTTATTTAGTTACATACAGTTGAGTTTTTTAATATTTATTTATTTTATTTTATTTGTTATTTTATTTAATTAAATACAAATAATTATTTTATTTAATTATTTTATTTTATTTATTTAATTATTTTATTTATTTAATTATTTTATTTCATTTTTATTTTAATTTTTATATTTTGGCTCTGAGGAGTTAAACACCATAGGCGGGGGGAAAGCAAAACCCTAAACCCTAAACCCTAAACCCTAAACCCTAAACCCTAAACCCTAGGAATGCATACAGCAGACCGGATGAAAGGGGGCCAGGATAGAATAGGAGTGTTGTTTTATTTTATAAATAAATATTATTTTTATTTTTTTTTTTTTATTTTTTTATTTTTTATTTTTTTATAGCTCACAGAATTTAAATATTTAGCTGATAGCCTCAGCCAGGAGATTTGCAACAAAGACCTTTTGCCCTTTCTGCTCAAGTGTCTCGACATCCAAGTAAACCCTAAACCCTAAACCCTAAACCCTAATGGGGATGCACAAACCCTAAACCCTAGTATCCTCGTCAAACCCTCTTCAAAAAAATCTTACTACAAGCAAACCCTCGCTGCAAACTTGACGCGGGGTCCCTATTAAATTTCTAGGGTTTAGGGTTTAGGGTTTAGGGTTTAGGGTTTAGGGTTTAGGGTTTGTGTTGATTGAAGGCAACTGAAATTCAAAAGACTGCGGTTGATGTGTTGAGGGTTTGTTTTGTTTCTTTTGGTTACTCGGACTACCGCACCCTCTTCTTGCCCCGCATGCTAACCCTCATTGCGAATGCAGGTATAAACCACCGAGGGTTTAGGGTTTAGGGTTTAGGGTTTAGGGTTTTAGGGTTTGGGGTTTTAGGGTGAAGTATTTAGGGTTTCCTTTTTGCACATATGACGCTAAAAGTTTATCATTTAATGCTTAGGGTTTCTAGGGTTTACGGTTTTTAGGGTTTAGTGTTTAGGGTTTAGGGTTTAGGGTTTAGGGTTTGGGGTGTATGTACAGAGTGCGAGGAGGTGCGGGTGAAGTGTTTGGATTGCCTCAAGGCGATGACTCCTTCCTTCGATCGCTCCATCGTTGAACACCAAATTCTGCCAGTGCTGCTGCAGGTACACCTCGTGGGGTGTACATACACCTCAAGCTGTACATACACCTCAAGCTGCACATACACCTCGTGGGGTGTACATACACCTCGTGGGGTGTACAAGTACACCTCGTGGGGTGTACATAGACCTCAAGCTGCACATACACCTCGTGGGGTGTACATACACCTCAAGCTGCACATACACCTCGTGGGGTGTACAAGTACAACTCGTGGGGTGTACATACACCTCGTGGGGTGTACATACACTTCATTCGGTCTTCGTCTGTACTTTGTTGTTCTTGTTTTGTGCATTATCTCTCTATTTCTTTTCTTAATTTCTTTTATTTTTTAATATTTTTTCTTTGTGCGTTGTGTTTTTTTTTGTTTGAATCCATTCGATGTACCCAACGAGTTAAAAATATATATATATTTACACGCTGGATTTTATTTTATTTTATTTTATTTTATTTTATTTTATTTTATTTTATTTTATTTTATTTTATGTTGTATGCAGGCATCTAAGAAACGTCATTCTTCTTGTTTTTGTTTGTCTCTGAGTTGC